ATTCTGATAAGAATTTGTAAATAAAACTAATGAAAATAATCAATTTACATTTTAATGGCACGTTTGTATCAGGTGGGGAAGTAAAGTATTTCGGAAAAGCGCCAAAAGATTCTGAGGAAGTGCTAAAACTAAGTTCAGATAGAGGAAGGGAAAGTCGTTGATTTTGCGAAGCAATAGACTGATTTTCAGAAGACTAGATGCTAAGAATTAGTTTGTTATGCTTATAGTGAAGTAGATAAGAACAAGCTTCCTTATTTTTACATTTATACTAAAATACCACGCAATAAGTATAGTTAAAATTTGAGGCTTCAGTTTATACTTGTATGTGACAAGTAGCTGTATTAGTCTTAGCTAAATAAAAGCTGTGAAAATGCTACTTTATAATGCATATTTTATTCATAGAGACCATAAGAAAACAAGTTTCTCAGAAGTGAGTTGACAGCACTCGAAAGAATTATTTTGATCTATACATGAAATATAGCAAACCTGAGTTAGACAATATTAGTTCCATAACGGACTTTGTTGAGACTCTTAATATGTAGCAAAAGATCAAGATAAAAGTAGTTTTTATACTATTTTGGCTAATAAAAGAAAGAAAGAGATAAAATATTTAATAAATATATTAAAGATTACCTTTATTTGTGTTGTTGGTTGTAAAAAAGCTTTAGAAACTTGTAGAGTGTAAATGTTAAAGTTCTTATGGTTTGTTCTAAACTCGTGCAATAAAATTATATGGACTTTACTTGTCATTTATGAAAAACAAAGTAGTTTGACACTAGAAAAATTATTGGTAAGTGAGTAATTTATTTTTTATTCAAAAAGTGGTCAATGGAGTATTTCAAACATTACAGTTTGATGTATCTTAACTGTTGTCAAATATATTTGAATGTGTTTTCAAATATCTATATTCGTTGTTTATATTAAGATGCTGGCAGAAGCTAGTACTGTTTAGAAGGTTTATTTTATTCAGAAGAAATTGATAGTCTTAATGTTTATGTCACAACCCATAAAACAAGTTTAGATATTAGAGGAGTATAGATAATGAAGTGCAAGAAATGTATTTATCCATTAATAATAAAACGTTTGCTATTTTCAACTGGCTGTTTCCTTATGTTAAATCAATAACAACTCGCTGTCCAAGGGTCCTTTTGTTCAATAACAAAACTGGTCAGTTGAGCTGAAGGATCAGAGATAAGGGTTTTTCTGAAAAGTTATTCATATACATATATATATATATATGTGTGTGTGTGTGTATGTGTATGTGTATCTGTGTGAGTTATGAGACTTTAGAAGTTATGGTTTAAAAGCCGAAACATTAGAAACCAATAGGACTGATATTCTAGTATTTGACGAAAGGCCTCTTGGGCAGTTTACTTATGAGAAACGAAAGATAGATCTGAAATGTTATTTTTTATACACACCTATAATTTGCAATCCAAAATGGGCCAATGAAGAGGAATATGAAAAAACCTGCAGTTTACAAATATTAGGCCATTGATTTCTGTTCCTTCTGCCTTTAAACCGTAACTTTTATAGTCGTATAAGGTATATATATATATATAAATATATAGCGTTCAGAAACAATTTCATCTTTTATTGTCAAGTTTCACTGAACGAAATGTCTCTTGGGGATTGAATTCTAAGAAGCAAAAGATAGAGCTCAAACCTTTTTTTTTTTTACACTCCTGTCAATTGGAATCCAAAATGGACAAGTGAAGAGAAATTGAAAAAATTTACTTGCATCTTACGTGAACAAATGTTAGGCCTATTGGTTTTTGACGTATCTCCAAATATGGGCACTTAAACCGTAACTTTTAAAGCATATTTAACTGCTTGTGTCTATATGTTAACTTTTATACTAACATGTAAACATCCGTGTTAATGTGACAATTTTTGTCTAATGTGTAAATATCCGTACATATATAATAATATTTGGACTATTCTCGAAATATCTGTGTGTGTAATCATCTTTTTTGTGTCTTTCACTCCAAAACATAGTACCTTGATTTATTTCTCTGTATGACCAGCCTCATTCATGCTGTGTTAATTTATTGTCTATCATGAACCACTGCCGTGTTTCATTATAGGGATCGCTCAATAATTTCCCAAATATTCTAATAGAATATATGGAAACGCTTCGTTTTATTAGAGTACACAATGATTATTGATTATAGTTTTATAAGCCGTTACAGAGGAAACGTCTACGAATATTTTACTGAAACCTGGACAGTAGTAATGAATGCAGTATCGAGTATCTCATAGGTTAGTTTTAAAATAAATTCAAGCGCCTTCGCTTTCTTGCTTTGGAGAATTTCTCTAAGCTCGTCACTTTCCCCCATTGAAATAAATCCGGTGTTTTACTAATTCGCATTAATTGGAAAATAATTTGTGCAACTTATAGCGCATAAATTGGAAACTGCTGCGTTGAAGATTCATCATTCACTGTTGTCCTTTGTCTCCACGTGGTTTTCTGAGACTATGTTGTCCTTTGTCTCCACGTGGTTTTCTGAGACTATGTTGTCCTTTGTCTCCACGTGGTTTTCTGAGACTATGTTGTCCTTTGTCTCCACGTGGTTTTCTGAGACTATGTTGTCCTTTGTCTCCACGTGGTTTTCTGAGACTATGTTGTCCTTTGTCTCCACGTGGTTTTCTGAGACTATGTTGTCCTTTGTCTCCACGTGGTTTTCTGAGACTATGTTGTACTTTGTCTCCACGTGGTTTTCTGAGACAATGCTGTCCTTTGTCTCCACGTGGTTTTTTGAGACTATGTTGTCCTTTGTCTCCACGTGGTTTTCTGAGACTATGTTGTACTTTGTCTCCGCGTGGTTTTCTGAGACTATGGTGTACTTTGTCTCCACGTGGTTTTCTGAAACTATGTTGTACTTTGTCTCCGCGTGGTTTTCTGAGACTATGTTGTACTTTGTCTCCACGTGGTTTTCTGAGACTATGTTGTACTTTGTCTCCACGTGGTTTTCTGAGACTATGTTGTACTTTGTCTCCACGTGGTTTTCTGAAACTATGTTGTCCTTTGTCTCCACGTGGTTTTCTGAGACTATGTTGTACTTTGTCTCCACGTGGTTTTCTGAGACTATGTTGTACTTTGTCTCCACGTGGTTTTTTGAGACTGTGTTGTACTTTGTCTCCACGTGGTTTTCTGCGACTATGTTGTCCTTTGTCTCCACGTGGTTTTCTGAGACTGTGTTGTACTTTGTCTCCATGTGGTTTTCTGAGACTATGTTGTCCTTTTCTCCACATGGTTTTCTGAGACTATGTTGTACTTTGTCTTCACGTGGTTTTCTGAGACTATGTTGTCCTTTGTCTCCAGGTGGTTTTCTGAGACTATGTTGTACTTTGTCTCCACGTGGTTTTCCGAGATATTACAGTGAGTTTTCTAACGGTGGACGATTACTGTAGTAGGTTTCTCTACTCTTGTGAATGGTGAATGCCTATTTTAATATTATTTTATTTTTATTATTAATATTTTTGTTTCACAAGCTTACAGCAAAATTGGCTGGGTATTTTGCACCAAAACCCAGAGAGATATATTATATGAAAAGCTGCGAATATCCATGACCTATTGAAAAAGTTCATTATTTTTCATTGAAAGTTCATTTACATGGCTATAATTACATAATATATACGATGTTGTTGTGAGCGGCTTCCTTTGTACTCGACGCTTGTCAAACGCGTATTTACACAAAACCTCAGGCACAAAATCACCTGCTCAGTAAAGAATGGTCGAGTGGAAAAAATGCCAATGCAGCAGTAAACTGTTGAAAAACATGTAACCTTCAACTGAATGTATATGCACATACGTAGCTTAAAATTCATTCTGTATAAATGGACATAAAAAAACTTAAGAAACACGATAATTAATAAATGATACTTTAAAAGGGGGAACAGGGATCATCAAAAAGTACAGAAATAAGTTGATTCAAAACGCATAGATTATATTTTCAAGTCTACAACTAGGGACTCTAGAAAAAAGTAAACAAACTAAGCTGAAAATAGTGTCTACATTATTTTCTCTAGCCACAAATCCCTATTTTGACTCCATGTACAGTACTTGTCAATTTTAGTGGAGTCAAAATAGCGATTTGTAGATTTGCACGAAAACAATCCGTGTGTTTTGTTTTTCCATTACGATACAGTTATTTGTGAAAGTAATGATCATGTCTGTTTAGTCATTCGCATTTATATTGATCTGCTAATGAAGATGAACAAATACTTGTGTTGTATAATTTTTCGTTGGATGTCTAATTATTATTGTTTATGTAGATAATTTGGTAAGTCTGTCTAGCTAAACACGTGTGTTTTGCCCGTCTAACTATCCGCAGTTTTTAACTGTGCCTGTGAAACTATCCTTCTTACACAGATAGTCCTGTTGCTGTGCGCCCAAAAACTCCAAACCAACCAAATTATCCTTCTTACACAGATAGCCCTGTTGCTTTGCACCCAAAAACTCCAAACCAACCAAACTATCTTTCTTTCTGTGGTGAATTTTTTGTTCAAATTTTAATTTCCGTCTAACTATCAGAAGGATTTATTTTTGTTTGTTTGTTTGGCTATATAGTTATGTATTATATATTTTTATTTGTCTGACTATCTGACTATGATACGTTTTTATACACCCATCCACTTGTGTAAGATAATCTGTATGTGTTTGTCTGACGATCTCTGTTTGTTGATACGTTTTTATATATACCCATCCACTTGTGTAAGATAATCTGTATGTGTTTGTCTGACGATCTCTGTTTGTTGATACGTTTTTATATATATACCCATCCACTTGTGTAAGATAATCTGTATGTGTTTATATACAGCTTTTTGTGTGTCTGATCAAACTTTATTTTAATTTATGAAAATTATATGATTTAAAACACAATCACCTTTGCCTATTGATCAATGTATTTGTTTACTTGAGTGTCTTTCGAACTGGTTACCTGCCTGTTTATTCATCTATATAGTCAGTATATTAACTTAAAAAAGCGAAATCTTACCTGAACAAGTATTATAGGAATGGCTAACACCAACGATACAATCCAGATAGCAATAATAAGCCGGCGAGCTTGATTTGTTGTACACATACAGCGTGACTGAACTGGGTGTATGATAGCATAATACCTGCAAAGATAAGTGTTACTTCAATAGCAATGAAAACAAATAATGTTTAACCAGTCATCGGGGTTACAATTTCATTAAGCACTAAATGGCTTGATGTAATTGTTTCCTTAGAGTTCCAAACTATTAGTTGTGAGGATTTGATAGAAACAATAAATGATTTACCATTAGGATTTCATTAAGTTATTATGTGTAAAATAAACTTTTGTGGTTAAGAAATCTCGTTTAACTTCCTTTCGAGCTTCTTTTGAAAATTGTATGTATGTTACTCTGATATTCTGAAATGCATTAATAGAGTCGCCCCCCAGTGGCACAGCGGTATGTCTGCGTGCTTATAACGCTAGCATCCGGGTTTCGATACCCGTGGTGGGCAGAGCACAAATAGCCTATTGTGTAGCTTTGTGCTTAATTACAAACATACATACAAACATTAATGAAGTTTTCATATTTAGCTTTAAATTATGCGCTGTAGTGCTGCTTGCTCAAATACAACATATATTAATTAAACCATTGCTCTATTTCACAGTTTTATTAATTGTGCTTTTGATATAAAAGCAATTAAAAAATTGCTTACATCAAAACATGGCTTCCTAATATATAAATATTTGTAAGGTATACATTGACGAATAAAAGCTCTAGACCAATTATATTAAAATGTTTAAGAAACTTGAGTATTTGAAACTAGATTTTTTGCTAAAATCAAAATTAAATGATGCAGAAATTATTTGGATAAGACCTCAATATTTCCATTACAAAGAGAGAATTTTTAAGATATTTTTGAAGTTGACAATTTTTGTTGTTATTCAATCCATATTGTTTTGGAAAGTTAAAATAAATTAATCATCTTGTATGAAACTACTTTGTGTGTGTGTGTGTTTTTTTTTGTGTTTTTTGCTCTAAGTATTAGGAAACTTTGTATAGCACTAGGTAACATAATCTTCCTGATCCTGTAAAGTTATCTAACCAATATTCCTTTCTTCTGTTCTTGTTCTCAGACTTTTATCAAGCTACGCATGGATGATTGCTGATAAATCTGTGTGTGTGTGTGTGTGTGTATTTTTTGTTTTTTTTTGCTCTAAGTATTAGGAAACTTTGTATAGCACTAGGTAACATAATCTTCCTGATCTTGTAAAGTTATCTAACCAATCGTTTCTTTCTTCTGTTCTTGTTCTCAGACTTTTATCAAGCTACGGATGATTGCTGATAAATCTGTTTCTACTGAGAAGCCAATGATAGTAATTGCAGCTAAAAGAACCAACGTTGATCATTTGCTTATGATTTTTAACTGTTTCTAAAGTTCTAAATAGTATACCAGTAACGTTAATCCAGTGATGATAACGAAATATTTGAATGTCTGGAAAATGGTACAGCAAATTAATGCCCAAGTAATTTCAAAAATAGAAAAAATTCATATTGGTATAGGAAGTTCCTTCACTTATGTCTATTTTATATATATATTGTTTAGCGTTAAACTGTTCATTAGGCTATCTACGCTTTGTCCAACGTAAACTTACTGCTCACCCACCGGGAAGGGGGGCAGAGTATAATGCATTATTGACAGGTCTTTTTTTTTTCTATACCTTAAATACAAGCAATATATTATTGTCCTTCATATTTCGAACACGAAATCTTTACACAATTAATTTATGTTTTGTCGTTCTAGGTACTTATGATAATTTATCTTAAAAATTATTTGTCCTAGAAGAAATAAATTTCGTCAGAAATGAATTGAGTAGCAGAAGTTTTATTCAGAGAAGTCTGGACATAGCGTACAGTCATCCACAGACTGTTTCAGAAGGTGTTCAATGCGCATATCGTCATTGTCAATAAATATTACAAGTCTATTCCTAAACGAAGCTATTAAAAGCATATTCTGTTATAAACAGGGTTCATTGATCCTCACAGTTTTCTGCACACTGACACGCATTTTATTCAAACCACTAATATCGGATTGTTAAAAGAAAAGAGAGGAGGTAAATAAAAGCAATGCTGGATTGCAAGAAAAACGATTTAGCTATGTTCAAACTTTCCCGAATAGAGCTTTTGATTTTCAAAATGCCTATGACGAAATGTTTAAATATTTGTGGATTAGCATTCAGGTTTTGTTTCTTAAAACTTTGAAGCCGTCGTTTAAGTAAAGATATCACACGGTAAGGAAGAGAATACGGCAACTTGGATGAAAAAAAAGAGAGAAACGGAGAATATGTAGCCAGTAAGAAATCAGACAAGCAGTAAGAGTCGTCTAACAAGTAAACAAAAATAAAGGCAAACATTTGGAAATAAGAGAAAAAAAGTTGCAAATATTTTTAACTGATGGTCTTAATCAGAAATGTTGTGCTGTATAAATATCCACCAAGTTAATACTCAATTTATATTTTTTTAACTACAGAAAAATGTATCTAAGTGGTGTGGAATGTAACTTATTATGAAATATTTTTGCATGTTTATCATGATCTCTGAAAATGCAATATTTCAATTCTTGAATCTTATAATTCGACAATTTTACCAATTTATGTAAAAACTGTATATACAGAAGGTGTGATGAATAGAATATATTTGGGTATGTGTTTATATATATATCTTTATTAATCCGCCCTCGACATCGATGAGAGACGAACACAGTGACTCATGAAGCATTGTGTTTGTTAGAAGTAACAGATGAGGCGTTTTCCTGTTTTCAATAGATGCAGTTTATTGTTAGAACTGTACGTATCACTTAATAGAATCAGCGTATTGCCGAGGCAACAGGTCTTGAACCCCGAACTATTGGTATTACGGTGTGACACTCTAGTTTCATGGTCACGCCGGCTTTATATATGTACAGGGAGAGGTTGTTAAAATCAACCCAATTACATATAGTTTACCTAATCATCCAACATTGTCAGACCATGGCACCAGATGGGATGTCTTGGTGTCATGGCGGTAACAGTAAGCCTCTAATATTTTTCGAAGACGTATAACTGAACTGTAAATATGTTGTAATTATGCTGACAACAACAAAAAACAAATGTACAGATATAGTACATGTCGTTATATAGGTTTGATTGAAACAGTTCAAATTCAAAAAAATACTTTGCAGAATGTGTAATATATCAATATTTCACGTATTCATAAAATGTGAATTTTAAGTTTCTTTATTCATATTTCAAAGATAAGGGGTTTTATGAAACTAAAATTTGTCACGTGTTATTTTTTTGTTTTAGATAAAACGTTTTCGTCACTTGATAGGTCAAGGAATCATGAAAATCTATCGGAGAAGACTAAACTGAAAAACTTAGGTCAATGGAAAATAAGGTTCTATCGTAAATAACTATACAAAAACCTTTGGTCAAGGAAAAATGAGGCTTTCTTGATAGGAACTATGCTAAAAAACTTTAGTAAAGGAAAAATGAAGCTTTCTTGATAGGAACTATGCTAAAAAACTTTAGTAAAGGAAAAATGAGGCTTTCTTGATAGGAACTATGCTAAAAAACTTTTGTAAAGAAAAACTGAGGCTCAATCGAAGAGAAATATACTAAAAACCTTTGGTAAAAACTTTTGAAAAATAAAACTCAGTCGGAGAGAACTATAGTATAAAATTCTGGTAAAGGAAAAATGAGGCTTAGTCGGAGAGTACTATACTAAATATTTTCTCTTTCCAACAGACACTGAAGCATGCATACATTGTTTAATGAATAATGGCTGACAACTAAATAACCTACCATTTCAAATGTTTGTTTTCCTAATAACAGCGTATTACAGCCTCGGCAGTAGAAATGCACTGAAATTGACAGCACATTTAACTTATGAATGTTTCAGAGTTTTTATCGTGTTTCGATAGATTTTGCACAAATCATTGCACAAACATAAAAACAATGTGTTTTACTACCAAAATGTCGTGAGTTTATACACACACACGCATATTCATATATATTAACGCATTTATTGAAACTATTTAAGTTGAATTTTCTTGGTGAAACATGTTTGCAATTTTTATAACTATCGAGTTTAATGAGCAGCTGAATTTGGAAACATTTTTCCCTCAATGAAAACACTAAGTAATATAAAACAAATTTTAGCAGTGTTGATTTCATTTCCAAAAAAAAAAAAATTGAAAGAATATGTTCAAGCAACGAATATAAAAAAACAGTACAAGTTCATATGACTTACAAACAATCATTTGTATACGATAACCATAAACAAAGAAATATTAACATTTTTTATACAGGTCTGTCATTCAATTAAAGAAATTATAGGTAATAATATAATACAATTGTTTTTTTCTAACGCATTTCTTTCACAAAGAACACCAATATTATTTAATATTTAATAATTTATTTAACACCAATAAAAAAAAATACAATGCTTCTATTTTCATTCCGTTTACTTAATGTTTCATGTGTTACGTATTACAATTATCCCGGACAAGCCTCAAATTTATAACGTAACGTATTATAATTTGAAATAGCCTGAGACTGAGTTAAATGACAATTTAGATTTAGAAATTAAATAAATGTCGAATGTATCCAATCTTGCAAACAAAATTGATACACATAGTTTTTTAAAGAAATATATTTTAATATACAAACAATAACACAATTTACAGGTTTTTGCTGAGATGATAGGAATTTATTTTTATGAAAAGTGGTTTTATGTGTTAATATGTAATCATCGGAAAGAGCAGCTGCTTCCTGTAGTGTTTCAACTTTCTTTTCATCCAAATAAGTTTTGGGGTCGTCACGTGCACAACGTTTAAATTCCTCAATTAGATATCATTGTCTTAGTTTGTCGAAATTGTTGCTAGTATGCATAGAATTACACCATCGATCAAAATAAACCTCTTTTTCGTGGACAAATTCCAAATAAGTTTGATTATCTTGCTTGCGATAACCTCGAAACTTTTGGCGATAAGCCTCAGTTACTAACTCGCATGCTTTGAGAATAGCTGCTTTAACCT